AGACGATTATACAGTATACTAATACTCGACAAAGATAACCACATATTCATTTATAATATACTGGTTATCATCAAAGAAGTGTTTTGTAGGAACGATGTATATATAGAAGATTTCTTTCAAAAGCATCGAAAATAAAGAAAATAATGAAGTATGAGAATTAAAGCAACATATATTCAATACTTTCTGAATAAAACTGTAATAATAGTTTACATTAGTAACAGTTATCAGTACATTTATGACAGTCTTGTGACTAAAAAACATAGAATGGCTGGTCGATTCTTTTTTTTAGATTTTTCTCAATGCAATTCATTTAGAAGATGAATGTAAGTTAAATCCAAACTTTCATGACAAGCAAATTTATATTAAAATGATTAACATAAACATATACATTACTCTAAAACTATTCTTAATCAGTAAATAATTAATATTTATCTTAGAAACAAATTTCATATTCATTTCTGTAAATATTATAATGTAAATGACTTTTTAGTGTCTGTCTAACTGATGCTTTTTTATCATAGAATCTAAAGTACTATGATATAAGCAGCTTTCCAATACTCTAAAACATTATGAATTTCAGTAATGTTGAATAACTACATTGATTACTTAAACGGTGATTATTTTTTTAACTCAGAAGATGCATTAAAAATGAAATTTTCGCTTTCTTTCCAAAAGTCAATGACCGATAATATTCTTCTTAAATAATGTATAGTTATCAAAAATGACTATCTTATGATTACAATCACAAACTCTGCTTGTAGTTGATTTTGAAAAGAGCAAGAACAAACATGCTAGCGGAATTCATTTTATTTCATTGGTTCTCGTCAGCTGCTTACAACCTGTAATATTTAAAATCATAATTACATAATGAAGGGACGAATTGAGCAAAGAAATTTCTTTTCAATTAGTTTACAATAATGATATAATACTCATCGAGTGGATATGTTACGTAATAATTACACAATGACATATCGATTATAAATTAACGTTGAGTAATTGGAAGAAAGAGGATTTAGAACAACATATATAAGCGAACAATATTGTTTCCGATTAGATCCTCATCAGGCTTTACACTAATATATAGTAATATTTATATGCATATACGAAATTATTAAACCAATCAAGGTAGTTTATGAGTCAATGGTAACAATGAAAACGATTACATAATAAGTGAAAAGTACAAATTGATAGTGTGTTGACAGGTGTACTAGTTAATATTCAAAGTAATTATTAAATCAAGAAGTTGCTACGCTGCATAGTATATAAAAAGCAGAAGGAGCAGTGTTTTAATGGATGGTCAATAGAATAGTGGTTACGTAAGAATCAAGATATGAATGTTGAAAAATTATAAAGTTCAAAAACAAAATTAAAAAATTGAAAAAAACCAAATGGAAGAAGTATGAAAAGTAGTTCTGTTGAAGGAAATCCTATATCGAAGGCCAGGGCAGCGAAAATGGTTGTACAAATTTCTTTTGAATGCAAAGGTTAGGTTTGTGAACATGGATTGCGATGGCTTCCGCAATGTGCAAAAGGCACACTCATAAACCATGTGGCAAATTTGATGGGATACGGTAGATAACCTTAAAAGCTTTATTCAATTCCACTTGATGACCTGTGTCAACCAAGTGAGCAAGAAAAAAACTTTTAATCACTTTTACCTGACCTTTACTTAACCACGACGGATGATGTTCTGTAATACGATGATGAACTTGCCTAATAGTACGCCCTATATAACTGGCCCCACAGGAGCAGTTGAACCGATAGATACACATGGATTTGGCGAATTCAGACAGTCTGTCTTTATTGGCCGTTCTTATTTTGGGGTGGGTGTAGAAGATAGCATTTAGTCTGACTGCATTAAATGTTTTTGCACAGCTCTTCTTAGTTTCTGAGTCACGATTTCTTCAGTAGTGTCATTTATGAATTGTAATTTTATGAACAGTACTTTCTTAGGGACGGTAGGTATGTTTGCCCTTGTTTTCATCTCTATCATGTGTTTGTCGATGAATTTAATAGGGTACCCATTCATACTATTAGATCCTCATCAGGCTTTACACTAATATATAGTAATATTTATATGCATATACGAAATTATTAAACCAATCAAGGTAGTTTATGAGTCAATGGTAACAATGAAAACGATTACATAATAAGTGAAAAGTACAAATTGATAGTGTGTTGACAGGTGTACTAGTTAATATTCAAAGTAATTATTAAATCAAGAAGTTGCTACGCTGCATAGTATATAAAAAGCAGAAGGAGCAGTGTTTTAATGGATGGTCAATAGAATAGTGGTTACGTAAGAATCAAGATATGAATGTTGAAAAATTATAAAGTTCAAAAACAAAATTAAAAAATTGAAAAAAACCAAATGGAAGAAGTATGAAAAGTAGTTCTGTTGAAGGAAATCCTATATCGAAGGCCAGGGCAGCGAAAATGGTTGTACAAATTTCTTTTGAATGCAAAGGTTAGGTTTGTGAACATGGATTGCGATGGCTTCCGCAATGTGCAAAAGGCACACTCATAAACCATGTGGCAAATTTGATGGGATACGGTAGATAACCTTAAAAGCTTTATTCAATTCCACTTGATGACCTGTGTCAACCAAGTGAGCAAGAAAAAAACTTTTAATCACTTTTACCTGACCTTTACTTAACCACGACGGATGATGTTCTGTAATACGATGATGAACTTGCCTAATAGTACGCCCTATATAACTGGCCCCACAGGAGCAGTTGAACCGATAGATACACATGGATTTGGCGAATTCAGACAGTCTGTCTTTATTGGCCGTTCTTATTTTGGGGTGGGTGTAGAAGATAGCATTTAGTCTGACTGCATTAAATGTTTTTGCACAGCTCTTCTTAGTTTCTGAGTCACGATTTCTTCAGTAGTGTCATTTATGAATTGTAATTTTATGAACAGTACTTTCTTAGGGACGGTAGGTATGTTTGCCCTTGTTTTCATCTCTATCATGTGTTTGTCGATGAATTTAATAGGGTACCCATTCATACTATTAAGTTCCGAATATTAACCAATTCATCTTCAATGGTGTGTTTCGAACAAATCATTCTGGCACGATGAGTCTAGATCTTTATCAAGTTCCTTTTGTATCTGATTGAAACTGAACTGTAGAAATGAATGTATTGTTCTGTTTTAGACTTTCTGTGTACCCCTCTTTTTAAAGTTCCGTCTGCTCGTCTAGTTAGTTGGACATCTAGAAATGATATACTATTGTTCCGTTCATCTTCTGATGTAAAATTAATTGATGGATGAACGTTATTAAATATATTAAGTAAATTGTTCTTATTATGTTCTTTTTCTAATACTATGAAAGTATCGTCCATATAGGGATAATAAGTTGGTAAATGGCTAATCGTGCATTTAAGTGGTCCATTTTCCAGTTATGCATTTATTACATCATTGAGTTTTATTTCAACTATCTTCCAAATTAATAATCTTATTTTATCAACTAAACTCTACTCATTTTATTCCTACCAGCGTTTACTCATTATGTAATCACTTGTTTCTGGCCATTTAAACTGTTGTCACAATTAATGTTGTAGAATTTTCTTTTACATGAGGTATATATTTACAATATTCAGTTTATTAAATTTATTTACACTCTTACTATGCTAATATGTCTTCAACATAACTTCCAACTAAACCCTCTCATGTAAGTAATTTAAACCCATTATTTAATTATGACTTTAAATATCACAGGTTGTAAGCGGCTGACGAGAACCAACGAAATAAACTGAATTCCTGCTATTCTGCTAGCATGTTTGTTCTTGCTCTTTTTGAAATGATAAAGGGAACTATGTGTAGGATATAGTTTATTTGTTATTGCTCGACTAAGAGACTTTAACATTATAAACAATATGAAAGTTTAACACAGTATAAAAGGATGATCGTTCTATCTTTTTAGATAAGAAAAAAAGACCAACAGATTCACAATTGCCATTGAAATATATTTCAACCTATACTTTACACATTCTCAGTTATTCCAGTTTAAAGCTGTCTATCTGTTCATCATAAACAAGTGATAATATTTAAAAAACAGTCTAGAAAAGCTCGTCTGAAATCAATTTATCAGACTGGGTTTTTTTGGAGATTTTTGAAATTAGAGATTAACACCGTTAAATGCCAGCTCAGTGGTTTAGAGGTTGACCGTTCGCGCGTAAAACCGAAGGGTCTTGGTTCATACTGCAGAGGAGTCCCACAGTAGGAAAAAATGGCCGTTCAGTGCTCCCAGGTGTTCCATGGTGGTCTAGCTTTAATTGACTCATGAATTCAACTTTGAAGTCGATTTATTTTTGGTTAATGAATATAACATTTTTAGGGTGTGTTAGACAAAAATAATCTATGTGATAGACAGTAAATTGTTTTCAAGAAAAACGACCAATTCAATTTGTACTTGTTTATCATTGGTTTTTGAGAAAAATCTATATAAAGCCACTTTATATCCAACGTCATGTTCATCAACTTAATTGAAAATCCTCCTAGATCATCGTTTTACTCTCTTAACGAACGTGTTGTTGACTAATATACTGTAGATTAAATCAGCTTTAGACCAATAATATCTTTACCCGATACTAAAAACTGTATACTAGATTGCCATTATTTTGTATAACACTTGTCTGTTCCAATATATAATCACTGAAGGTATAATATATTTTGGAATCATCAAGTATATGAAATAAAAAGTTTCTTTGAAACAATACATTTACAAAAGTCATATTTAATTCAGTTTGTTACAAATTTTCTAAGATATTTATGGAATATCTCCACATTTTTTTCGTACGACCAATCAACATTAAATTATTACCATATTTGTATATCTTATATATAATTGGTTATTCCATTATATATATATAAACTGCTTTACTTCCTAGTTTAATGTTCAATTACTTTACAACTATATGTAAACAATTTTGAAAGTAATTTTCCCATAATATCACTAAAATTTATTTTAAACATATTTTTTCTTTGTTATTATTATGGCAACTGTACACTTTGTTGAAACTGAAGTACCACAATCGAACATTCCACGATTTAAACGTGTTATGGATAGTGAAGAAAAAATTATCAATAAATCTGATCTATTAGAAACTAATATAACATCATCAGAGAATTTATCAATGACTAGCAAACTAATTGATCTAGATAAAAATATTCTAAATGAATCAAATGATACAAATAAGGGTTTATTAGAAACTACTTCAAACCAATCTTATTATGGATTTAATACATCTAAAATACCAAAAAATGATAAAACAATTCAAAATATCATCAATGAAAAAAGTGATAACATTTTAATTGAAAAAATAATTGATAAATCAATTCCTTCAACTGAAAAACATGAAACAAATAATAAAGTTTCTTCACCATTACGTTCAATTAAAGGTAGACGTATCCGTCAACAATCAAACATGTCTGACAATTCCTATGATTTAAAACAGAATAATAATTTAATATTAAAACAAAAACAAACAAATTTAAAATGTAAAAAATTTAAAAAATATTTAAAATCACTAATCGCATTTTTATTTTCACATATTGGTCTTTGTTTAGTTGTAGTTGGTTATTGTATATTAGGCGCATTTTTATTTCGTTCAATAGAACAAAATCATCAATCTAATATAATACATAATTGTACTATTGAATTAATTAAAAATCAAATAAATATACAACATTTAATTAATAATTATCATGATGAAACATTAAACTTATGTATAAATCATATCAAAAATTGGTATAATAATGATATAAAATGGAAAAATGATATGATCAATATATTGATTTATTATGGTTTTTCAATAAAACCAGAAATATTTAAAATGGAATTAGAAAAATTTAATCAAAATTTAATGAAACCAATTATACCAATAAATCAAACAAATTCAATTATAAATCATAAATTTACATTAATTGAATTTAATAAAAATTTAACAATTAATTTAAAATATTCTACAGAATATATTATATATAAAATAAACGAATTAATTGAAAAATTAATATATAATACATATGATGCATGTAATTCAGGTTGGAAACCAGTACATTCATTAAATAATATATTAATGAATAATAAAAATTATAATATTTATTCACAATGTTATAAATATAATAATTGTACATTAGAAAATAATAATAATAATAGTAATAATAATAATAATAATCAAATAAATACTATATGTAATTGTTTAAATGAAACAAACTGTTTATGTGATAATATAAATCAAATTAATAATTATTCAAATAGATTATCTACAAATGGTGTTATTGAAGAATACCGTGATCCTTGGACATTGACTGGAGCTTTATTATACGCTGTTACTGTTGTTACTACTATAGGTAAGTTATAAAATATTATTTTAAATGGAAATAATATGTTATTTATTATATTTATTGATAAATATTAAATTATTATTTGTTTAATTGATATTATGAATCGACTGATGTTAAAACAATATTAAAAACAAACATAGAAGCACTGGATGGCTGTTTCGTCGTAGTATGGACCATAGGTCTCATGCGCAAATACTTAACCTGTAGTCCAATGAGTCAAACAATGGAAGATGGTTGAGCGATTTCGTGAATTGGTTGAAATTACACATTAAAACCGATGGATGCCAGCTCAGTGTTTGAGAGGTTAAGCACTTGCATGTGAGACCGAAGGTCCTGTATTTGAATCCCGCGTGCGGGATCGTGGATGCACACGGATGAGGGGTCACACAATAGGAAGAGACCGCCATTTAGTGCTTCCATGTTTTTAATGATGGTCTAACATCAATCGATTCATGATCGCAATCGAAAAACTCAATAATCTCCACAACCCCATATTGATAAATATTAAATTAAACAGAAAACGTTTAATCCTATTCATCATTATATTCCTTTTGTGACTAGTTTAAGAATAGATATATGATTAAAAATATTATGAACTCACAATTTTATATAATATTACAATCAAAAAATTATATTTCCATCAATACTATATATGCAGAACAATAGAAAATTAAATATTTTCAAAAGTATAGTTCTTTCCCAACTTCTCATTCAGTTTCCCATATATATATATATATATATATATATATATATATATATATATATATATATATATATATATATATATATATATATATATATATATATATATATATATATATATATATATATATAGCCCTTGTATAGCCGACAAAATGTTTACTCAAGTAGATTGATAAAAATCTGACAGGGTTGCATATCCGTGGACTGAAATCTACTTTTCTAAAATTTTTTATTTATTCTCTCATAGTGTCCTTAGTAGTAACTGTCATAATAATAAAAGAATTTAATAATGTTAAAAATAATTTGGAATTTTATTGTTATACAAGTTTTGAATAGTTTCATTCTGTTATATCCTACATCTAAATAAACTGTACTCTTTTCCTGAATGTCACTATACATGACATTAATGAGTATATATATATATATATATATATATATATATATATATATATATATTAGTTTGAAAAAGTATTATCAAACCAAGCACATTGATTCATTAACTGATATTTCATCAAAATGAAACAGTAATTTATTCTATGTTAACAGATTAATTGCAATGGGTTCTTTTTAATGATTTATTTTCCTGGTTAAGATGAAAGGAATGATTGATTTTCACAAATACTTTTAAATATTTTGAAAATTCAGACCAAAATAACTGCGGTTAATTGTGAAACTTTATCAACCATATTGTTTTATATACATGATTCAAGGCACTTTTAGCTACCTTTGAAGACGAAATTATATTAAATTTTCTTTAATAGTTGAATGCATGAGTCAATTAAAGCTAGATCATCATTGAAATATTTGGAAACACTGGACGGCCTATTTGTCCTAGTATGAGACTCCTCAGCAGTGCGTATTCACGATACCTCTTGCGGGATTCAAATCCATGACTTTCGGTCTCATGCGCAAACACCTAACCTATTGACCACTGAGCTGGCATCCAACAGCGTTAATGTCTTTCTTCTTTGTAGAGTAAAAAATCAATTGGTATGAGAATATTCCAGACATATTTTGTCAAGATTACTCTTTTTAGGATTTTATCGATTTGTATTCAGCCGGTATCAACAAGCTAGTTTTTCATTTCAGTATCAATAATTAGAATGTATCAAAATATTTTCAGAAAAAAGTTTTATTCATTAAAAAAGAATTTTATCATTAGTTTACAATTTTTTAATTGAGAATTTAACACTTGACCATCAAGTTGAAGTTTATTTTTCATGCAAACTGTAGAGTTAAGAAAAGCAAAAAAGCCGAATCAATGCTAGGCAAGAAATTCTCTACGTTAGCTAAGTACCGTAGCCTTAAGCCTTTTAGTTGGTTTATTGTACTATTATTTAACCAAATGATGTTTATATAACGGTGGAGAAAATGAATTTAAAAGGAAATTTATGCCAGAAATTTAATTTCGATAATGTTGTTTTTTAATACCGTTAAGTCACATATTAAGCTACATAATAAATAAAATATTCGTCTTGAAAATACACTAGACTGACATAATCGATAAATGGTTTGAAAACTACCAGTATCGAAACCTTTATAAATTACGTCATACAATCCAATATAGTACCATATGTGTTAAATAACTTCACAGATGCGTTCGTATATACTTTTGTATGACGGTAATTGACTAGTAAGTTGAAGCGTCAGTGACAATAAATCACCAGCTTTATTCACTGTGATGATATTTTCACACATTTTATTAAAGTTTTGTTCATTCTTGAAAGATGATCATTCCAAATATATCACTATTTCTAAGTGTTAAATTTGTTTGAATGTAACAAATATAAAAATAACAGGGAAAAATCAACAAGAAATATTTCTTTTTAACAATTCTGATAATTTAAACCTCATACGGACTAAATGTCAATTGATAAACATCATGGATACTGATCTGGATCATATAATGATTCATGATCATTAATATTTTATAACTTCACTCTAAACTTTCTATGAATTTATATAAATTTGTTATTTTAACTACTTTAATATTCCATATCAGTTGCTTTCCTAACATGATTTATAATTTTAATCTTAGCGTCATGTGAAAATTAATTAACTGAATGTAGGAAAGTAAAACAAGAGAAACATTACACTTGGTTACACAAATTTATTAAATACTAAATGTATAGCGATAAATTATCAGACGAAAACAAAATATTTTAACCAACTATTACCTGCATACTATCTTAGATGAAATTGACAGACCCTCTTTTTTTATAAAGTGTTAAACTGGTTACCACATTTAGTTACTTATACATATTGAGCTATTTCTTTAAAATGGTTGACTTTGGATAATCAATTCATTCAACTTAAATAAGAATAGAAATATACAAGTGATTTGTTTAAAATTATGGTTTAACACATTTAGATACAGATGAAATAATTTTCAAAAACAAAGTAGATTTTTTTAAATTTTTGTTAACTAAGTGTTCGTGAGAGTGAATACGAATTTCTGAAGACAGTAAGATTATTACTTATAGTTTTATCGATATAATCGGTATGATGAAGTCAACGTACTTCAACACTTCTGAAAAGTTATGTTAACTAATTTATATTCTGTTGATACCTGGAGACAGTTGGTTTAGTTGTTCCAGAATCAATAAAAGTTATATAAGTAGGGAATTGTAAAATGATTAATTTCTGAATCACCACATTAGAAGTTACATTTCTTCAATTTAAATTATAAATCCTCATGTGAAATGAAAGAAATGGAAATAACTTCATTGAATATGGTTTTCACAAAATATTAAATCAATATTATCAAAATAACCATCTATATATCGAATCAAGTCTGTTTGATCTGCTTGAAGATAACAATTTTCATAAACTGACATTTGGAAATAAAACCAAAACATTCCAAAAATCATTAAGCAACCATTTTTACTTATATTAAAGAATTTCTTCACTACAAACTAATAAATTTATAAAGTTGAATCAAGAAATCAACATATAATCGAATACTATCTAATTTACCTTTTAAATTTGAGCTCGATAGTTTTTTAGAAAATAAGTTCGTGACGGTGAGGCTATCAATGTTGAGAGTGTGTAACAGCTACCTTCACAGCATGATTAGGTCACACATTTTCAATTTTCCACCAGTACATCATAATATCAATCTCAAATGTATTCACTAATAAGTGTTCTAATATAATTTTATTTATTTACGTAATAGTTATCGATACTCTCGTTTTTTCCCTGTGTACATATAAAACAATTATTCAGTAATCAAGTTATGAAAGTATCACATGTATAAAACATTTTATTGAATACATTAATGAGTAAACAAATGTTTTAGTGTAGAAATTCAGAATTCATGAAACTGGTTCTAGAGTATCTAGAAGAGTTCAGTTTTACCTTCTCTAGTATGAAAAGAACTTCGTGTGTATGACGTATAAGGTAAATATTTATCTACATTATTTAAAAATGGTACTATATAACTTGAATAAACTCTGTAAGTTAAGTGTTCATAGCAAATTTGAATTCCCACTTTAAACTAGACAATGTTTTCATTCCAAAATCAGACAGCACTAAAAAGCTATTTTGTTATTGATGTTTACATGTATTCTATACATTCCTTAAAAGGGATTTTATGAGATGATCTTGTTAAGTGTAGATACCAACTCACTTTGACATTTAAAAAAATGCCTACGGATTCTCCAAACACCTGATGTTAATATACCAATAGAAAGTGCAGCATTTTAGGTATTTGTAAGAAAAAACTATAATTCCAGGTCATTTCAGTAGTATTCTATACATAATAAAAAAAGTAAAACCTGAGAAAACAATGAACTTTTATACATTAGTTCTAAAGAAAATAAAATTGCCTAATGTAAATGATTATTCTTACAAAAAAATGTTTGAGGATACTTTATAACATCAGGCTTACAAATTCGTTCGTCTTTGTCAGTAGATCCTAGACGATAAGCATTCAGTCATATACATTAATAAAATATTTTCGTAATATTAATGAACCCCTGGGGTTAAATCAAAACGTTTACCGTGGACTCAATTGTATGAACTAATATTTCTTTGTTTTGTTAGATAAAATAAGGTGTTGGTTGGAAATAACTAATTTTAGAGAGTTCCCCTTCAAATAATGATTGTAAAGAGATTGTCATAAGTGCATTAAAGTAGAAATAGTAAACACCTTAATGTAATATGATTTAAATTTTATTTTTTCTTTAATCAAACAACATGACCTCACATTGCGCGTAATAAATAGTTTGGCATTTGCCATATGATAGCAAATAAGAGGAAACCTAAACAATTTATCAAGTATTTCGATGTCAGAAGATGAAAAT